TATTAACATTTTTTCACCTAGAATGTGTCTAATTGTATAGTGGAATAAACATTTCTTTATTTAAAGGGGGGTGGGGGATCCAGAAAGAACAGTTAATTTCAACAGAAGCCCAGCAAAWTGTAAATGTTCAGAATCACATCTAGTGCTTTAGTGACCAAGTGATTCTGTAAAATACAGTTCTTCACTTTTCTTTTAACTGAGGAWATAATCATGTATTGAAACCATTTCAGTTAAAGGTGTAGTTTGTTCAGCTGACCCACAGGACCTTGTGGGCCATTTTGACCCAARGGCARCAGGAGGGTTAATCTGACTGTTCACATTCTCCACGAGCCTGTAGGTACAGTCAACGTACTGTTCTCCCAAATTWTGAATGATTTAAATAATAACTGCTCCTGCTATAAACTTTATTTTTGGTGTTAAATATTTCCATTTCTAAATGCAACAGAGTCTCACGCAGAGGTCATATGGGGCGGAGCTTCATTCAGGAGGCACAACAATATGAGCTGGTGGTGAATTCACTTCACTTTATGGATTATGGTTAATCAGAGTCACTCACCATTTTCCACTAGTGCCACTGTGTAGTGTCGGTACGGTCAGTGTCGGAACGGGTCAGTTCGGGTGCTTTTCCATTGACGTTTACGTCCGCTTCCAGTGGGTGTGTTTTGGGCGGTTGGTGGAGGTCATTTTTGGGTTTTTCAAAAAAGAGCTAATGTGCAAAATGAGAGATGGAAACACATTTGCTGAATAAGTTCTGAAATAAAAAAAGCTAAAAATTCGAATAAAAGTTGGATGAAAACACGACTAATGTCGCTGCTACAATTGGAAAAAATGGTGCCTCGAGTTGTTGTTGTAAAGGCAGTTCAGACCCAACAAGTGACTCCACCCMCTAGCTAATCAGTGACAAACAGTGTTCTGATGTCACATTTGGGTGTCGACTGGGACCGCTTGGAACCACAACGAAGCAGGTAATTTAAAAAAGGGCTGGTTCCAAGAATCTGGCCTTATGGAAATGGCTTGGAACTGTACCAAACCGTACCGACACTACACTAAGTGGCACTAGTGGAAAAGGGGCATAAAATGGTCTGAGTCACACTGCACCCCTCCCCCCACCCTAACACAGCCAATAAAAATAAGCTTGTGAGGGATTTGCGTTATTCAGAGATGCTTATTTTATAATTATAAAATAAATATAAATAAATATCTGAGTGTGAGTTGCTTCTGGGTGTTTTGCTGTTTTWCCAGTAAGTTTGTGAACTCACAGACTTGGCTGCGACCATGACCAAGACTGTGATAAAAAGTTTTTTGACAGGAAACGGACAGCACTAAGGTCTCTGGGAAATCTGTTCAAATTCTAAGAAGGACTAAAGCTATAAAACATTTTATTCATGTATTTAACTTGTTGGRRGTTTTGTGTTTTGTCACCTGCAGCGTTGGATCAGTGTTCCTGTGTAGAGCCCTGTTGTTGGGTCATGTTAAAGCAGCAGCACAGGGAGCTGCAGTGAAACATTTGTCCTGATTCTCTTCTTATTATTTTTATTTTATTTTTCTGTTTCAGTGTCCCTGCAGCTTCCAGCCAAGTTTAGAGAGCGCTCGCCCTCCCCATTAAGGGGCTTCCTCATCCCCAGCCCCTTGCCCACTCGCAGGAACAGGACCTACTCAGCGTGAGGACACAAACACAAAAACAAGACCGGGTCAAAGACACGGAGGCCATTCTGATATTACACACTTCCTCTTTCTCACACATTTTTAAAGTCTTAACAGGACTTCTGCTGCAAACATGCAGTAGAAGGAAATTGAGTATACAGCGGGTAAAATAAGTAATGAACACGTCAACATTTTTCTCAGTAAATATATTACTAGAGGTGCTAATGACATGAAATTTTCACCAGATGTCGGTAACAACC